AAGTAATTAATAAAAAGCAATATGGAGGAGTACCACATATTAATATACAGTGGATTTGCGAAGTAGGCATGTAACAATGTTATTATAACAAGATGAATAGTTATAATGGTAATGTAAAATATGAAAATAATAGTAATAATCTTCTCCATAGCCTCAAATGATTACATTTTAAAGAAACCCTCTACACTACCCAAGCAGCACACCATATGTAAATACTATAAAATATCTAATAGAATTTAATTCGATTGAATATTTTAAGAGTTCAAATTCCCTTAAGATATCTCGAAGAAGGTTTCTAGATAATTTAAAGTAAAAGTGAGCACAACTTTATTAGTAGATCACAAGAAAGCTTTGAGAAACTATCTGTAGGTAGTGTTAAGAGTGATTCTTATCTTTTTTCTGAAATAACCCTTCTAGAATGCTACAAGACCATTTGTAGAATGTAGACAGTTTTTATTTAGTTTTGTAGATAGTTTTTAGATAATTTATAGTCTATGATAGTTTTCTTAGTAATGCTATTTTAAAACCAAAATACTAAAGCGTTACAAACATAGGACGCAATTCTCTTAATACTAATAGATTTCAAGTTTAATGGCTTACAAAATATAAACTATCGAAATGGCAACATGGCGATATTAGTATTATATAATATTTCTGACTTTTTCGCGCAATGTTTAATCGGTTAGAAAGCGCAAATTAACGTGCGACTTTAAATACATTGTGAAAAGTGATATAAAACCTGCCATGAAAGTAATGCGCCCCCTAAATTTTCAATATTTATGTATAAAATATAAACTTTGTATAGGTTTTAAATATTTATAGAAAGCTTAAATATACAAAATAACTCACAAAACAAACCATTTCCAAGAAGTTCTAGGCTTCTTCAAGCTAATTTCAACTTAGATTTGCTTTTTAAAAAGAAAAGAAATTTCTCTCGGCTACTTCGTAGTCATTCTTTAAAAATAAGAATGGCGATAAGAATTTAAAGCTTTATACAAAACACAGTTGGGAGCATTTTCTCTATAGCTTTATCTATAGAAAAACTTTAGAATACGAAAAGATTATTTTTACTTGCTTTAGTGTAGTTGAACTTGTCGAAGAATATTCCTCCTGTGAGATTTTTATGAATGTCTACAAAACGCGATGTTTCTAAGCGATTTTTTCATTTGACAGTATTACAAAACCTTTATAAGGTTATACGAAAAAGTGAGCGTTTTATGCATTGACCTACCAACAAAATAAAAAACTTTATAAAATACTAGGTCAAAAAAACAAGTGGAAAAAATCCAATTTGTCGCAAAAAAAAAACGTTATTCTGTATAATTATATGGAATGTGTTATGATATGACTAGAAAGGTGGATACATTTCGTATCATTTCAATATAAGGAATATTTTAATGACATACCTAACTTATGATGGAAGAAATAAAATTTTCATTACAAAATTGAGGTTATTTTTCACGCCAACCACATTTCACACAATGATTTCACTGTATTCTATTGATAGATGGCACAATACACATACACAACATTGAAGTACAGTAGTTTACGCGCTCATTTCAATTGTTTTTGTCATTTCACAACACGGAATTACTTCACAATGTTTATTTATTTATCAACAAACAAAGGCCATGACCGGCCCGAGCGCGAAATACGACTATTGTATCCAGCGTTGCCAATTTGTAGGGAATTCCCCAAATTGTGGGGAGTTTCAACTAGTTTGGGGATTTCGTGGGGATTGGCGCTATGTGAGGAAAATGTGGGGATTCTAACACTTTATCATTTTGTTTAATCTATCAATTGTTGATGCATCGCTAGTTTGATCGTTACTGTTAGAAACACTGTGATGGACTATATCGACGTGTTATTCAACATCGCACATCCCTCGTATTATTAACAAGCAGCTTAAATAGAATTAGTATTAGAGCACTTGGTTCTGAATTGTAAAATTACCAGTCGGTGCATGTTGAGTTCGCGATTCTTTCTCACGCTTAGGACGGTTCCCGGTATGAAGCAAAACGAAATCAGCTATTGATAAACAAAGCCGAGCAGTTAGTACTTCCACACCACAAATTCAAATTCAAAATAATCTTTATTTCATAGGTAAGCATTATTACACTTGAAATCGTCACAATAGTTAAACTCTACCGCTCATTCGTAAGGCAGATTCCCCTGAGAAGAATGAGCAAGAAACTCTAGGGGTTGCTCTTTGTGAATAACATTTACAATATTTTTTTAATTTATTTGAAACATCAGAGATCGAGACTACCTCCATAAGCTAAACGGGTTACTACCACGGATTTTTGTCATCCAAGTACGCAGAAGTTGTATAAAAAACCTTTAGTATAAAGTTTTTGTTTCACTATAGTTTTAAACCTCGTGAAAGGCAAATTTTGTATATCAACCGGAATCTTGTTATAGAAGCGTATACATTGCCCCTTAAATGATTTTTTGACTTTGTGAAGACGACTATCAAAAAAAGCTAGTTTATTTCTATTCCTCGTATTAATGTTATGTCTGTCACTATTTTTCATAAATAAATTACTATTCCTTTTAACATAAATTACATTTTCATAAATGTACTGTGAGGCTAGTGTAAGAATGTTAATTTCCTTAAACTTATCTCTCAAAGATACTTTGGGGCCCAGATTGTAAATTGCCCTAACTGCACGTTTCTGCAGGACAAAGATTCTATTGATATCGGCGGCATTACCCCAAAGCAAAATGCCGTATGTCATTAGACTGTGAAAGTAGCTGAAGTAAACCAATCTAGCGGTTTCGTCGTCTGAAAGCTTCCTTATTTTTTTAATCGCGTACACTGCAGAGCCGAGCCGTTTTGATAACTGACTTATATGGGGACCCCATTGCAATTTAGCATCTAACATTATACCTAGAAATACAACTGTATCCGCAAGATTCAATTTTTCGCTTCTAACTACAATGTTTGTAACCGTCTCTCTAACATTGGGTAATGTAAATTTCACACAATTTGTTTTTTTCTCATTAAGAAGTAGGTTATTAACAGCAAACCAATCAACTACTTTAGATATAGCAATGTTCACATCGTCGTAGGAACATTGGTGCCTTTTAACTTTAAATAATAAGGAAGTATCATCAGCAAACAATACTATCTCATGTTTTATACCCTCCATAAGGCTAGGTAAGTCATTAATATAAACTAAAAATAAAAATGGGCCTAGAATTGAACCTTGAGGGACACCCATGCTAATTGCAGATCCTGACGATCTCGTACCGTTAACATCGACCCTCTGTACCCTACCACGCAAATACGATTTTAGAAGGTCGAGATCACGTCCCGCCACACCATAATGGCGAAGTTTCCTGACCAGTGTATCATGGTGCACACAATCAAAAGCTTTGGAAAGGTCACAGACACCACAACTTACCACTCGTCAACTTTAAATATTAAATATAAGTCACCAAATGCACAACAAATAATCAATTTACTTAATTTTGTAAGGCAAATAAAAATTATTTTTTGTTCAGACTGATTACAGGTTAATGTTGAATCTAATTAATATTATAATTAATATAACTGCCTCAGTGGCCGAACGGTTACCATCGATCGATCGAATGATGTGACTTAATATCCAAGGTTTACCACCTCCACCAGATCTTTTAATATTCTTTACTTTATTTTTCTTTTCCCAATTTTCTCGCATATCGTCTAGTAACTGACTATCTTACCCACTCATAACAATCACAGTAACCGTGCAATTGGCCTGGGTTGCCAATCTATCTTTCCCCAATAGTGCTAAAAAAACTTAAAACTAACAACAATGCTCCAAAGTCCTATATTAACTGCATAGCGGCTGAGATGTCAGTTAGAGCTCGAGATGCATCTCTCATCTCCAATATTAACAGACTGTAACCATCTTAGATTATACTCTGCACATGATTGATTAAAACTTAACAACTACGTTGTGCTGTAGATTACGGCGAGTTACCGGAGAAGAAGCGAAAAAAAACTGTTTTGCTAGATCAAACTGTTAGGTTCAATATTAAATAATGGTCTTACGAAAACATACGATACACATATGGATATGTACTGTCTAAAGAATGTGCTATTGTTTCACGATATGATGTACTTCATGCGGTCATATAAAATACTGAAAACGGGCTAAAATAAAATTCTGAAACGAATAATTTAAGAACAAAATATTTAATTTTGTACATATTTTTATACAGAGATATTTCTTTTTAAGTACTACAGAGAACCAACTAAATTTTTGTTTTCCACTGAAACCCTATAGTAATTAAATTCACATTTATACAAAAATTTATAAATGCCTAGCGGTTTAAGTGAACGTAAATAAACACTTTTTATTTTTATTTTTTATATGGTCACTAAGATTTTTCTAACCAGCTTAATGCTGTTAGAAACCGTGCCTGTAACTGTGGGGACACCCTAAGTAGTACAGTATATTTTAGTAGCGAAATACAGTGACAAATGTTCACTTGTGTATGGACAGAGACTACACAGAATTGTGTAATAGCAGTAGAGCTCCTTGTGAAAAAGTTCGTCCACCTTACGTACTTCTGCTGCCAAGCAGAAATGTGAAGACTACTGCATTCTGCTTTCGAAGGGTAACGGTGCTGGAGAAATTATATCTGGTCCGTCCCAAAAGTATCGAACATTTTTCAGGAAAAATACTTTTATTGAACTTATCGGTACCATACATTAGTACTCTTCAAAATAACACCCTTCAGCATCGATGCACTTTTGTAGGCGAGTTTTCCATGCCCGGAAGGCCCCCTGGAAGACGTCAACGGGTAGGTCCTTCAGCGCCCTCGTCGTAGCTTCTTGGATGTCCTTAATTGTGCCCCAATGCTTGCCTTTGAGCTTCGACTTGATGCTGGGAAACAAGAAGAAGTCTGCCGGGGCGACGTCAGGACTGTAGGGAGGCTGCGGGACCAGCGGGACTCCTGCTTTAGCCAGATAGTTGCTAACAATGAAGGCTGTGTGCGCTGGCGCATTGTCATGGTGCAGCCGCCACGTGTCTTTCATTCCTGGCCGCACGCGAGTGACCCTCTGCCGGAGCCTTTTGCACTTCCACGTAAAAAGCGGAGTTCACAGTTTGTCCTTGGGGCACGAACTCGTGGTGGACGACACCGCGCACGTCAAAAAACACAATGAGCATGTATTTCACTCGACTTTTGCTCATCCGGGCCTTTTTCGGACGGGGTGACGCCGAGGTGTGCCACTCCGCACTCATGCGCTTCGTCTCCGGGTCATACTCAAATACCCAGGTCTCGTCTCCTGTTATCACTGTATCCAAAAAGTCCGGATCACGTTCACACAAGTCCAACAGTTCACGACAGCGCAGCACCCGCAAGTCCTTTTGCTCATCCGTTAACACTTTTGGCACCAGCTTGGCGCACACCTTGCGCATGTGCAACTCCTCGGTCACGATGCGATGCACGGTCGACTTGGCGATGTTGAGGGTCTGTGCTATCAACCGCACTCCTTGACGACGATCCTCGTTGAGAAGCTGACGCACACGGTCAACGTTCTCGTCGGTCCGCGATGTTGAAGGACGACCAGAGCGGGCTTCGTCGGTCACCTCTTCCCTTCCGTCACGGAACATCTTGTGCCACTTCCTGACCGAGGATTCGGACAAGGCTTTGTCCTTGAAGGCCTGTTTAATCATCTCGTTGGTTTCCACAGTATTTTTGCCGAGTAGAACACAAAATTTCACTGCGTACCTCTGTTCTAACGGATCCGTCATCGCGCTACTTTTAAAAACTTCGACGAGGTGTCGTTTAGAGCTCTACGCGAACGCACGTCCTGCCGCTCCAGGTGCTCGGAGCCAACTGGGACCGGTCGCGCTGTATCGGCTAGATCCCCCCACCACTTTCTGTTGCCAAGCGGAGCGCTTCCCGCCGTTCGGCAACACTCCCAAAAAAAATGTTCGATACTTTTGGGACGGACCCTGTAGGCACCTGGGACTTGTCAGCATATGTTTCACGGTGATGGATGCAGTGGCAGTGCTCCTCAGATCTTTGCGATTTAAAGCTCCGAGTGGCACTGCAACTGCTATGCATAGGCGTGTCGCTTACCACCTGGCGCACGACTTGTTCGGTCCGTCTCTTGTATCATTAAAAAAAATGTAGGATGTAATAAAAGAGTTTGACCATATTGCAGCTATCAATGCATATACAGTATTTATCAAGAGAATATTCTTCTGCTAAATTCCTCTTTACATTTTCGCGAAATCGCTACTTTTGTTTGCCACCATTCCAATCGCTAGCTGCAATAGATGTGGTCGGATCTTTACGTTAATGTTATGTATACGTGTACCCGCAATAGTAATGGAACTATATTTCAGTCGTACTACTCTGAGAGTGACTTGTTATTTTCTATAATGGAGGCGTGGAGGCGTTAGAGACAAGCCGTAATGTTAAGGCGCCTGTCGCTTTATTTATAAAGACGAGCATTCAAAGGAACAAAATAGAACAAACCGTTTACAACAATATTTTTTTCAAATTGAACAAACCGTTTCCTTATATGCTGTACATCAAAAGAAGCATTATTGAATATTCATTTTAATGATAAAATACTAAAAGCGTTGTTAATAATAGAAAATATTTAAAAAGCTATTAAATAAGTCTTTTATTTAAATAGTCAGTCGGACCTCCCAAGACATTAGCGATGACTCCACAATGGCGTGGTATACTAAGTATTAGGGGTTAAAGTATGAAATTGCCGTTTTATTGCAATAGGTTCTTTGAATTTTCATAGAATCTTCATGGTTTGAGGTTTTCGAATGAAACTTTTTTCAAATGGTTTCTGTGATTTTTTTTTTTTAATTTGAAACATTTGAATATCGACTTTCAATTGTTTTTGTTATTCAATTTAGACAAGAAAGATGGATACTGCGAAAATTCGAGTGATTTTTGAATACGAGTTCCGACGCGGAACTAACGCGGCAGAAACAGCCCGCAATATCAATGCTGCGTTTGGAGAGGGTTCTACTAATGAACGCACCGTGCGATTTTGGTTTAAACGCTTTCGTGATGGAAATTTCGACTTAAAGAACGAGTCACGAGGAAGACCGCCCACACAGGTGAATAACGATGAATTAAGAGAGATAGTGGAAGCCGATCCTAGTCAAACTACCCAGGAATTAGCGGCATGGTTTAACGTTACCTTACCCACAATATTGGCTCACTTGCGTCAAATCAATAAAATAAAAAAATACGAAAAATGGGTGCTTCATGATTTGACTGATCTGCAGAAAGAAACGCGTGTTGAAACTTGTGTTGCCTTGTTGAACCGGTACAGAAATGAAGGAATATTGGATCGAATTGTAACATGTGATGAAAAGTGGATTCTTTATGATAACCGGAAAAGAAAAATGCAATGGCTGACCCCAGGTCAAATGCCACAACAGTGTCCTAAAGCAAAACTTACCAATAAAAAGGTAATGGTAACTGTTTGGTGGTCTCAGCATGGTGTTATTCACTATAGTTTTCTCCGATCTGGTCAAGCAATAACGGCAGATGTCTATTGTGCCGAACTCCGAACCATGTTGACAAAACTAGCAGTAAAACAGCCCCGACTCATGAATCGATCTTCACCATTATTGCTCCACGACAACGCGAGACCTCACACAGCACGAGAAACCATTTTGACCCTTCAGGAACTGCAGTTAGAAACCATTCGTCATCCTCCGTATTCCCCAGACCTTGCCCCAACGGACTACCATTTTTTTCGTGATTTGGACAATTATCTACGTGACAAGAAGTTTTCTTCCCAGGAGGCAGTACAAAATGCTTTCACACAGTTTGTGCAGTCTAGATCGTCGGAGTTCTATCGCAAAGGCATTAATAACCTTCCCATTAGATGGCAGCAATGTATAGATAATAATGGCAACTATTTTGATTAAATAAATTTGTTAATAATTTAAAAAATAAACAATTTAGATTTTCAGTACAAATCGGCAATTTCATACTTTAACCCCTATTATTAGCTTTTGTGCTACTCTCGCCATAAAGTGAAAAAATATCAGAAATATACCTATTATATATTGCATAGCATGGATACGTATTGGTTTGGTCAGTGATGTGTACGGTGACGATTGACGTATGAAGAATGAAAAAAACGATCAAAATACTTTATCGAGATTATTTGTAACGAGGAGTAAATCGATTTAAAGACAATTTAAGAACAAATAATAAACAAAATGAAAAGGTTTCAATTATTACGCTAGGAAAAAACTACAAAACAATCAAAAATCAACAACGAAATACAAAGGCGGCAACAAAGCATAAAATCATCAGCAACGTAACAAAATTTGAACAATTACTCCAAAAAGAAAACGCAAAGCTCAAAGCAAAAGAAAACTACGGGCATACAAGGTTTATGGAACACATATTGACGCTAGATACACAATAGCCGATTCGATGTACCGATTCTGTACTGTAAATCTATGGATAAATATTCCGTTTTACGAATCAAGTCATTGGTGAATTTTATTTTTGTCATTATCATTTCATTTTCTATCTACTTAATAAACTTAATTTTTACTGAAATTTACAACAAATATTGTTTGTTTTTGGTACACAGTAACAAATTTACTATTTCTTTTTTGTAATCTGGTTGAGAAGCTCTTCTTCTATGTGTAAATTTTGAGGTAGACCATTAAATGCTTGTCTCCCGAGCTAATCTCCTGCATGCTCAAAGGAATTGAGATCGGTCGACTGAGTAGGTCAGTCTAAATGCGTGATACCATACTCGTGGAACACATTCATCGCCAGCCCTGCAGTGTGTGCACATGCATTATACTGCATAAACATGAAATCTTGGCCGAGCTGCTGTCGGTGAGGGATTACCAGGTGTTGCACAACTTCGTCGCATTATTGCTCCGCATTCAAATTACCTTGTATACCCATACCATTATCATTTCGCTTTGGTATAGATGAACTTCCTGAGGATTCTAGAGTCGACTGTTGCTAAACTCTCTCAAAAAAAGCTTCTTCTTGAATCGGGATGAAAACCGAAACAAAACTCGTCAGAAAAAAGCACACGCGCCCACTGAGTTTCAGTCCAGTACAAATGTGCGTTAGCCAACCATAAACGACTTTCTCGATTTCCGCAACGCTGAGCTGGAACGCTTAGCGGTCTCCGTGTATGGAAAAGAACTTTATGTAATCTATTCCTAGTTTAGCCACTGCAACCACTTGGTGCAGGAACCGCAGTCTTCCTACTAGTTGTGAAGCTATAAAAAATGAGCGACGATGTCTCAGGGTACTGACCCTGTATCTTCTTTAGTGACGTCCGGTTGCATCTGCTGTTGCCCTATTGTGAGCCCCTAATCAGCAAATTACGCTTGGTTGCGAGTTAACAGCGGATGCAACATCACACTGATTGCGCCCAGATTCCAACATACACACAGCGCTAACTGTCGCTTCCCGCGTTGAATAATAATGTAATATGACGCTTAAAACCACAAAAATTAACGAAAACAAGGAAAAATTGCTTAACACAAGAAAAACATAAACATAGTGATCATAAACTCAATTGTTTACATTAGAAAAACCTGTGCGCTACACCCATATAAGGCTTTCCCCACGTTTTCCCTCCTAATTTCAAAATGGTTTTGCTTTTTTGTTTTACTTTTTAAATGTCGAACCAGAATTTAATACAGTTTAAATTTACATGTATTAATTTCAGCGGTCAGTACTTTTTCCAAAAAAAAAAATTAAATAAATTAATATAATTATCTTGTTCCCTAGACTTTATTGTTGAGTAGTGAATAATACTTTGAAAGAGACACGAAGATTATTAATAATAACAATAATAATAACGCACACACTCAACATAGCTCCGCACTAGGGAAACTCTGTGTCGCGGATGCCATGTACACACACATAGACAACCACAAGTTACACCCAAACTCACGAGAGAAATAAATGTAGGCTATGCAACTATTTCTCCTGGCCCGGGAATCGAACCTGGAACGTCTGCGTGGCAGTCCGGCATGGTAACCGTTCAGCCACTAAGGCAGTTTATTTACTTGCTCCAATTACTATATACTATGATGAGTGATTCGGATACAATCATGAAATGCAAAAAAGTTCCTAAAATTGTGATAACTGCAATTTCTGACTCAATAAAGATTTTTGAATGCGGTTTTCAGCTACGATTTAAACACCTTATTTAAACACCTTATTTTTAATTTTACGAAGAAACATTCCAAATTAACATAATGTATCGTATATTGGAATGTTTCTATGTTGAAAACCATGTAAAACCAAATAAAATATACTTGCATTCGTTTTATCTATTACATTTTATAAATACTCAAAAGATAAGCCAGATTCTTATTTAAATTAATTTCAATGTTAAAGAAATTTACTTATTTCGACCCCTGGCTGATTCGAGGAAATGCTGAAGAGTCTGCGTAAATAAACAATTTTACAAACACGAAGCGTACCATTTTCATTGCATAATATGTACCTGTATAAAGTGAGACATATGTATGTAATATGGACTTAAGATAAATAACGTCGAAGAAAAGCTATAAATATCTACTGTGTTACTATAACTTGACCCAGGCTTTTGTTTACGTCAATTAAGGCAATTAATAATTATGTGAATCAAGAATTCATATTTAGCATTCATCCACGACAATCATCACCAGAGAAGAGCCATACGATATTAGATTATAAATTGTTTGCTTAATAAATTAAAATGAAGTCTTAATATTGATTCCTTGTCAAAAAT